GGCTTGTTGTTTTGGGATTTAGTTTTCGGGTCTGGGCTTCACGTTTAGGTTTGGTGCATTCTAAACTATACACATTAGTCGGCCCTAAACACTGAATGCCAAAACCTAGGCCTAGACCCCAAACTAAGCGCCAAACGAACCCCAATTTTCCCAACACTCGCCAACGCTCGCCAACCTACCCAACCCTTGCTTACTTCAACCGTCTGCAAACCTCTCCAACCCTTGGCTTCAAGGAGCGGGGTTCAGATTATGCTTCAGGGTTTAGGCCTTCAGGGGGTTACGGCTTTAAGGTTCCATGGACTTAGGGGTTTAGGGTTTTTAGGTTTTTAGGGAGTAGAGTTTAGGGCTTAGGGGAGGAGGGTGGTTGTAGAGACGTAGGGGTTTAAAGTTTTTGCTTTTAGGGCTTTACGGTTTTAGGGGTTTAGGGCTGTACGGGTTTAGGGTTTTACGCTTAGGTTTCAGGGCTTGCGGCTTTACGTGTTTGGGGCTTCAGGGCTTTAGGACTTGAGGGTTTTCAGTCTTGGCCGGGAGGGGGCTCGCCACCATCCCCCCTCTCCAACCCAGCAACCCTCTCCGACCTCACCAACCCCCCAACCCTCCACAAACGACCACAATCCTCCCCAACTTTCACCCTCGAGAACCTACCGAACCCCCTCTGCAACCCCCCGGGGTTTAGGCTTAAGGCTCAGGGTTTAGGTTTAAGGATTTCAGGTTTAAGCTTTCGGGGGCCAAAGCGCTACTCGAAGGTTCTAGAGCTTTCGGGGTTTAGGGCAGGGCTTTAGGGGTTGAAGGTTTTGGGGGTTTCCAGATTTTTAAAACTTTAGGGCTTTGGGGTTTTAGAGTTTTAGCTTTAGGGTTTCAGGTTTTTTCGAATGGTTGTAGGGTTATAGGTTTCAGGGTTTCGGGCTCTAAGAGTTTCAAGGGTTTTGGGCTTCAATGGTTTGGGTTTAAGGGTTAGAGATTTAGGGCTTGAAGGCTATGAAGGGGTTAGGGTTTGAGGGGCTTGAAGCTTGGGGTTGAGGATTTAAGGCTTGAGGGGCTTTAGGGTTTAAAGTTTGGGGGTTAAGGGTCGTCATTGCTCATATTGTTGAGCATGACGAGTTTATGCAGGGTTAAGGGCTTAAGGGCTTGAGGGTCTAGGTTCAAGGGCTTCAATTAAGCTTTTAAAGTTTTCTTCTTTTTAGGGTCTGGGATTCCGGTCTTAAGGTTGGGGCTCAGGGGATTGGGCGTACGGCTTGGATTTAGGGTTTAAGTTATAGGGTTTAGGGTAGCTTTAGCGTTAGGGTGTAGGGTTTAGGTGTTAGGGCTTAGGCTTGCTTGGTGCTTTGGAGTTTCTTGCATTTTCGGAAGACCTGTTAAAAGGGATGCAAACACAGCAACCAATTGACTTTCCCCAAATTCCAATTTTCCCCGTGCCATTAGACTCTAAGCATCAAGAGAAGATGAGGGAACCGTTTTACACCATACCATTAAAGTGTAATAGTGCTATCGAAATGGGGACGGGGAGGAGACTTTGACTAGAATCCAATAGTGCTATCAAAACAGAGACGGCCAGGGAACTTCATTTCCAAACATATCACCATTGAACTCAAAGACTTATGGTCTGTAAAGTCGGAAGGATCTTTTTTGAGGGCGACATTTGTCCAAAAAGGCGAGGAGGGAACAAGGGAACAAACATAACATCAGCAAGTATACCCCACACAGACCACCCATTGCCAACCCCACCCCATGCCACAACAACCCAAACACATCCACACATACCGCCCCTTGCCAGCCAAAACAAACCCCAGCAGCCTCCCCCCCATACTACAACAACCCCACCACAAACGCCCCCATGCCACCAACAGACAACCCAGACAGACCCCAGCAGCCACCAGGGCCCCAAACCCGCACACCCCGCACATCCGCATAACATCGGCAAGACAGCCGATCTTCGTGATCCCACGGAAAAGTGTGTGGACCGAGTACGGAGTGCATACATTTTCCGTTCTCGGGTTTAGGGTTTAGGATTTGGTTTAGGGCAACGTTTTCTCCTTTAGCAGAACGGAGGCTGTTTGCCAGATAGGGCTGCTGACAGGCGGTCTAGGATTCGCTTTTCGCTTTCGATCGATCGAGAGACAGAGAGAGAGGGAATGGCGCAAACTTGTTGGTGGGCTTGGGGGCACCCCCCGGCTGTAATCGACCTCGTCGTGGCGCTTGTTGTTGGGTTTCGGGGGCATCCTTCCGGCTTGCAATAGACCTGTGGCGAAGCTTGTTGGCAGGTTTTTTGTGGCGCCCGGCGCCCAGCGGTTATAGAGGAGATCTTCGTGGGTGTGTTTTCGGGCCCCCTGGCTGCAATCGACTTTTGTGTGGCGAAGTTTATTGGTGCGCTTTCGGGGGCACCCCCCGGCTGCAATCGACCGTTTCGCGGCGAAGCTTGTTTTTGGGTTTTGGTCGCACCCACACGTTGCAACGGAGCTCTTCGCAGTGAGTGTGTTTTCAGGAACCTCCTTGCCTCAATCGAGCTCTAAAAACGTGGCGATGTTTATTTGTAAGCTTGCAAGGGCCTGCAAGGGGGCACCCGTTTCGGGGGCACCCCTCCGGCTGCAATCGACCTGTGACGAAGCTTGTTGGTGGGTTGCCGGCCTCATCCCATGGGTTGCAATGAAACTCTTCGTGGTGAAGGCAGTATCAAAACTTTTGAAAGAGCTGTCTAAGAAGTTTTTGGCCATGGGGTGCATGGCCCAAAACAACTAAGTAGTCGACCCATTGCAGAATTTTAATTTAACATGGCTTGTTTTATTTTTTTTTGGCGGGAATCAGCAAGATGTGGCATTTCACATGTTTTTATGCTCGCATGATCTTGCACTTTTCCATCACGTCTTCCCTTTTGCGAAATCGAGCTGCCGGCTTGTGATTGAATATGCCGCCGCGAGCACTGCCAATTCAAGTGCGGGAAGACTGTGATTTTTGAACCCGCCCACCCGCCCGGTAATGGGGGGAGTTACGTGTCCTGCTGACCAGTGGTCGTCGAGGCGTAGAGGACACGGTTCGGCTTTCACCCTGTCTATGGCTTCGCCAGTGTGTGTGTGAAAAGGAGTGTGTTGACCGAATCACGTGAGTGATTGCACATATATATATATATATATTTCGGTGAATATTCCCAATACCTCAATATTTGAGTTAAGAGATTGTGGATTGCCGAATCATTTATTTACAATTCCAATATATTGCAACCCCGTAGGCGGGGTACATATTTGTGCGGTATTGAAATTTCCCTAGACATGTGTTGCTGGGTTTCCGGTGACACCCCACGGTTATACATAGTCGCCGACAATGAGTGGATAAGTTTGCAACACACCAACCCGTGTCAATCTTGAAAGATTTTTTTGCTACAAATGTGTGAACCGTGGAGCAATTCTGAATCTGAACAGCTGTTAGTGCAATGTGAAGCTGATGCTTTTCGTGTATCACAATGGTCTGTGTGCCACTCAAAGAACGCATTGCACGCAATTTCAAGGGGACGTAAATTGCGCAAACAACAACTACGGTACGCAACAAGCACGTATCGCAAAACATTTTGATTTTGCGAGATCGTTTCAGCTTGGGTGGGTGAGTCAACCATTGCGTTGGTTGTCCAAGGAGACAACGTAACTTAGTCGTAGTTGTACAGTACTGCGTAACGCTCACAGAAAGACGTCGTTCGCGTTAGGAGTTAGGAGTGCGAAGCGAACCAGTGCAAGCTGTTGTTGAGAAGGGGTTGCGCAAATCTACCGAATAACGGATCTTCATTCCGCGAAGCTGAAAGAAATTTCGTAGGTTGGGTGTGGAAGATGTTGCCCTCCTTGTATCCGCATTTACATCATTTGTCTTGTTGTTTTTTATGAGATGATTGTCATGTGCTTCAACTCTGACATGCGCATACTTCTCGGGGATGTTAAGCATGCAAAAGATTTTCACAGGAGCATTTTTCTAGTTGTGAGGAAGTTCACGGCTACTAACAGTGCTTTGCTTTGGGCTTCAAGCACATGGAAAATCATGTCATTTCGCATGTTGTCAGTTTTTTAAATTTTGCATTGTTCCAATCCAGTTCAGCTTCGTCTGCGGTATGCGCAGAATTTGTACGGTTGTTGTCAACCGGGATAGGGACCATGGGTGAACTTGTTTCTGGGTTCGTGCAGGGGATGGATTATTTGCAGCCGTGAGTGACATTCCAGCCAAACAAGTGCCGTTTGTTTGGAACTATGGCCGTGACGGTGACCCACAGGCGGAAGAGCATGGTCACCATGAACGCCATAGTTCAAGAGAGCATCCAGTTTCGAGTCGGACTGTCATTGTGAGAGGTAACAACCCCAAGCCTCATCAGCCCATGAGCCCTGTACTTCAAATCCTGGGCCAAATGCTGATCGGAGCATTTCACCACGATCCCACCCGACTCAACCTGACGCATGATCCTAACCACCCAAGTTTCCTTCCCTGTGCTTTGGGGCTCAGTCTGAAACATGCGACGAATACCGACAGCTTTTCCACCAGCATGCATACAGCTGTGTTTCATGAGCTTGTTGGGGTGTGAATGACATGCCGCCTTCCGGAAAGCTACCTGCTGTTTTCTACAGTGCCCTACAGATTGAAAGCCATTCCGTTGCCATGATAAAAGCTATTTTGGTGCCGGCCTCGGCTTCGCGCGCCTTTGACAGCTCCAAACCTAGATGACTCTTGTGGTAGCTCTTGTCATGTATTTCGGTGACGCTGCTGAGGTTGTCAACAATCAGGCCGGTTGCATGTGCAAGCATGCTTCCAGTGTATCTCAGTGAGCAGTGAGCACGGCTTCAATGCGTCATGTCACCGCGCGTCTTTGGGCTGACGGCTCTTGAGTGGCTGAGGGATTGCTTTTGGCTCAAGCTGGGAGCTTGTTGGCAGAAGAGTGACGTTGTTGAGCCAAGCTGTTGCAAAGATCGCCCGATGTTGCATCTACAAATGCATGGCATACCTTCGACTGCATGTAACAGCGCGACTCGGGTATGGGCTTGCATGTAGACCAGCTCCTGACGGTGCAGCATGACGCCGTGTTCTCAGCACCAACGCGCCAAGTACAGCTCGTATAGGTCAACTGGACGTAGTCAAATATGAGTACTGTTGCATTGTTTTTAAGAACCTGGGTGGTCATAGTTCTAAACGTGCGAGGTCATCGATGCCGAGCCGGGATATCTCAATGTCGCGGCTGGAGATCAAGTTCGGATTCTGTACATCGGAAGCGACGAAAGACAAGATGAGACCCTTTGCGGCAACAGCATCGTGTCAAGTGGACTGAAGCACGATGCGCATCAGATGAGTTGCAAAAAGTCGTTCACGGCAAGGCACGGCTGGGTGTTTGGGTCCACGGCACAGTGCAAGGGATGGCTCAGCGTCCAGAACTTGAAACTTGATTCAGAGGATGCTCGGCTGCACCAAGCTTTGGCCATTAATTGGCTTAAACTCTTCCGGAAGATTGAATGGTAAGCTCGACCAAAGCAGCTATGAAAGAACCGGTGCGTGCAAATTTGGAACGTGTTTGGAGGATTCGTTTCCAAGCGAAACTGCTGAGCAACCGGCCCAGGATGCGTGCGAAGCTATCACTGCACAGCGAGGCGCTCTTTCCAAAGGCGCTGGCTATTTGCGCATTCGCAAGGGGGAGCCCCTGATCATCAAGCACGAAGAGAACGAGTGGCTTTTCGGTTGGTCGAATGAGCAGCAGCAGCAAGGGTGGTTTCCGCGCTTGGTCTTAACCAAGCCAGCTCCTCCACCAGAGGAGGAGTGGGAAGCGTTGCAAAACAAGCAGAAGCCTCAATTTGATCAGCTCGCAGCAAGTGCAGCTGCTAGCAACTTGGCTGCTTGACAGGCTTTCTTGATTCGCACAGGTCAGGAGCTGTCTGGGAGAGTAATTACAGCTTCCCACCAAGGCACGGAAGCCTTGGCAGGCCCTGAAAGTCTGCCCAGCTGGACAGTTGGGCGAAGAGCACCAAAAGCACCATGGAATTATGCAATCCTGGACAACAGGAGAAGATGCTGCGTGCTTAGATTCAGGTTTCGTTGTCATAGTATTTCACTTCTTCTGCCCATGTTCCACGTGGTATCAAGCTGCTCGCACGAAGAACGATCGCCGCTACCTGGAACATAAACTAGTAAGCTGACACGCTTGTGAACCTGTAAGAGCTTCGGATGTGCTGGGGCAGACTTCGATAGCTTATCTCCTAGTCCTAGTTCAGAGAAGGAGGTAGGATAGAAAGAGAGATGTATTTAGAGATAGACCGCGGGAGACAGAGAAAGACAGAGAGTGGCATGAGCATTTACGCACGGCCATCATTGGTGCATCTCCGAAGCTTCTGCCACGAAACCACGAGTTCGCACTTGTGGCCCCGATCGGACCGACAGACGGGGAGAGACAGCCTAGGAAGAGGGAGAGACAGAGGCGAACCTCTTGTTCGAAATGCTTCATCGCCATCATGGTTACCAGTATGATCTTTATCATCATGGGCTTCAGCTCAGCATCAGCATAAGCACTGGCACGAACATACAAGTATGTATGTTTCGTCAATATTTTTACCAATGTAAATATGCATGAAATTATATATATGCATATGTACGTATGTATGTGTATGTATGCGTATACACGTCCAAGAAGCAAGCATGTATGTGTATATGTGTGTATGCTCATTTATGTTGATATATGTATTATGTGTTTATTTTCTGTATATATGTACATGCTTCGGTATGTATGTCCAGCTGTATGCACATCTGTACATACGCATTGGTTTACATGTGCATAAACCTACATGTAGGCTGCTGTACTTATGTACTTTTTTACTTGATCTACATATGTATGTATGTTCTCATGTATGCACAGGAACTTATGTATTTATATTATGTGCCTATGTCTCTGTGTACCTATGCATCATGGTGTTTAGTTTACACAGATTCAGTACATTTGCATGTATGTGCAATGTGTTCGCTATGTATGTATGTATGTATGTACGTATGTATGTATGTATGTATGTATGTATGTATGTACGTATGAACGTATGAACGTATGTATGTTTGCATGTCTGTATGTATGTATGTATGTATGTATGTATGATTGTTTTGTACATATATATATATATATGGTGTTGTGTTCCCACCTCCACCCCGGCCCATGGTTATCCCTTTCATACCCACCTCCCGTGTTCTGCGCTGTGCTTTCTGTGGTGTGGTGTGGTGGGTTTGGGTTGTTTAACCCCCCTCGTCCCCCTGTGGTGTGGTAGTGGGTTTTGGGTTGTTTCCCCCACCCCCTCTCCCCGCCCGTGGTGTGGTGTGCTGTGGTGTGGTGGTGGGTTGATGTGGTGGTGGGTTTGCGTTGTTAAACCCCCCTCGTCCCCCTGTGGTGTGGTGGTGGGTTTTGGGTTATTTAACCCCCCTCTCCCACCCTGTGGTGCGCAATGGTGGTGGTGGGTTGTGGGTTTCAGGTTTAGTGTTAAACCGCCTTCCCCCTCGCTGGTGTTGTGGTGGGTGTTGGGTTTGGGCATTGTCCCATGCTAGCTGAGTGAGCGTGACCTCTCTTGGCTCCTTCCTTCTCAAACGTGGGCCGCCCTGCCCGAGCTTGCCAGGGAGCTTAGCTTCTGGAATCCTTCGTGCCATAGCGGCCCCTCCCTCTGGCTCTTGGTGGGCTTGAGCATTTGCTGCTGCACTCTCGGAGGCTTGGTCTCTTTCTGCCTAAGGCTGCTTGCTGCTTGGCTGGACTTCGCTCCGATTCCGGCGCGCGGTCTGGGAGCCGACTTGGGACGCAGACTTCGGGAGTACCGTGAATGAGTGGGGCTGGGTCGGTGGATCAGCTTATTCTTCGCTTGGGCCGTTTGCGAATTTCAATTTCGACTGACCAAGAAACTGCTACTGATCGCAGCCCTTCCCCTGCAGATTCTTTCGTGCTGGTGGAGGACGACAGGACAGGCGCCAACTGGACCCCTTGCTCGAGGTGCTTCGGCTCCTCCTGCTCGCATTGCTCGCCTGGCTCGATCGCCGGACGAAGCCTTCCTTGAAGTGCAGACCCCGGGAAAGCTAGAGGCTCTGGATCTGGGACCTAGCGGGGCTCTTGCTCGGCGCTTGTCCTCGAGCGGACCCTGGACGGCCAAGGCACGCATTGCACGTGCATTTCGTGCTGGGCTTTCGGCTGGTGCTGTTCTACGAGGTGAGTACCATTATCAGCAGAGCAGCCCCTCACTGGGGATTCGGAATCGGGTTTACATCGTCTTGGCCTGCCCTACGCGAGCCCGCTTCTACTGCGAGTGCTTCGCGACCTTTGCTCAGTACTGCCCTCAAGGCAGGAACGGTCGCTTAGATCGTGCCGTCGTGTGCCACGGCTTTCCTTCACGCAGCGAGACTGAGGTATGAGACAGGAGGATGTGGAGCAGCTCCTTGCTGCTCCCCCGGCGGGGCGACCATTGCCCCTGGTTTATATGGTGGACGACGAGGACGCCCCGACCATTCGTGTCACTGCCTTTGTGTTGAAGTGTTGGCGTGGCGGCTTCATGGTGGCTCTGCCGTGCGTGGCGCGGGTTAGCGATTTGCTGTCGAACCTGGCCTTGACGGCCGATCCCGAGCTGTACTTTACCGAGGTGGCAGTGGCATGCGAGACGCCACGCCGCAAGTCGGTTGGCGATATTACCCTGCTCTATGCGGACGTCCCTTGGAACTCGCTGGCCCTCTTCAGGAAGGGAGCCGCCCTGCGAGCGAAACAGCGGCCTCGAATTCATTTCGGTGATTGCGGGGGATGCTGTTGTTCGGCCGGTGCTCTCTGCAGCCCTTGCAGCGGCTCAAGACGATGCGGACCTTCAGGAATCCATGGAAGGTCAATATGCCACGGCCGCGGAGGGCGGCGAGCCGGCCGGCTTCGGGCGCAAGTTGCTGCTTTCGAAAGGGCTGCTCAATCCCAGCCCCCTTGCCGCGGTTCTCGAACTTGTCCTGGAGGGGCAGCGCCGCCCCGAATCGTTCAGCACGAGCGAGCTCCCAAAAGATGTTGCCACCCAGCAGGCCGACGACTTGCTAGCAGAACTCGGGGAGGAGGTCGCCGAAGACGGGCTTGCCGGTGGCGGTGCTCCCAAGCCTCTTCTTCAGACGAAGATGCTATCCCAACTGGCCGCCACCCCACCGCGAGGCGCACTGGAATCAGCGTTGGCTTCAGGCGCGGGCAAAGAAGACTGCAGTTGAGTGCAAAAGGCAGCTCCGCTCGGGATGCATATGTGTGCCTCTTGCGTCGAAGATTCGGAGGCTTGCCGCGATCGAGATGGCGAGCCCATCGAGGATCCGCCGGCGAGCCTTATGAGGACTTACATCGAGCGGCGGAGTCCGGTCGGGGAGTTCCGCACCTTGGCTCTGGTGGGGACCTTTGCTGGTCAGGCGTGGGAGGCAGCGCAGTCAAAGAATCACGAAACGAAGCTTGGTTCTCGACTCCTCCTCTTTGTCGACGAGGCAGAACGAGGAGGCTTCCGGAGCCATCGTGGTCGACAATGGTGCGCAGGCGGCAAGGCCTGAAACCGTTTGCCAATTTTTTTTTTGGGCGAGTGCCAACATAGCTCTTCTCAAGGAGAGGGAGTGTGTCGCCAGCCGCATGGTGTCGGGTCGCACCCCCGCTGGCCTGGAGGACAACGACGAGGCCCCTGACGCCGAAACCAGTGCATCAGCAAAGCCGCCCCGCCGCCGGCGGCCCAAAAAGACCACCGAGTCGTGAGCGCCGCCGTCGGGCTAGGATGTCTAAAGGAGCCTGGGAGCTTGTTCGGATTCAGGTTGGTGTTCTGAATTGGCTGGCCCCCTCCCGACCGGGCTTGCGTGCGCGGCTCCGCCCTGACTGAAAGCCAGCGCGGCATTCTTGATACTTTGGAGCGGCGCTGCCTGCACTTCTTGCGTGCAGGGCGCTTCACTGCATCTACCCTGGGTCGCAGAATTGAAAAATTTGATCAGTTGCCGAGCCGCAGTGTGACTTTGCTCCCGCTTCGGATGTGGACCGCACGCTCAGCCAATTTGTTTCTGCGTTGCATGCTGATTGGGATTGTTACTCCCAACCCCAACCTTTTTGCAACACCCGCCCATGAACCAGACTCGAAAGCTCGGCCTTCTCAGGAGTCGGCGGCGTCTCAGGCGCATGCCCGGGCTGATCGGGATTCTCCCGCGGTTTGCACCTTAGGTTCGGGGCTTGGTTGCAAAAAGACTTGAAGCCGACCGTATAAAGTGGACGCTGCCTCCGTCCTGTAATCCCCTGCCTTACTTCACCGACCCCTTGACACGGTGGGTGTACTTGGATCCTTTCGCTCTTCGTTTGCCCCAAAACGAAGGGCCTCGGCTCCCTCGAGCGAAGGCGTGCGCTGTTCTCGAGCCGAGCTACTTCCCTTGGCGGCAAAATGGGACGACTTCCAGGCCCTCGGCTTGTTCCTTGCGCCGCTGTTTCAACTGAGGAAAGTGTGGGGTGTTTCGGGATTCCTAAGGACGAAGCGCTTGATAGATTCATATTGAACCCGGTCGTGCCGGTCGTGGCTAATTCCCGGACTTGGGGTCTTTGCAAGTTCACGAAGCTCCTCGCCACGGGGTCGTTGCTTGCAGCCCGCCTTCCTTCAGCCTCCACAAAGGACCATGAAATGTATTTTACACTCGTTGTGCCATCGGCGCGAGCTCAAAGAAATACGATCGGGGTCCCATTCAGCCGCTCGGAGCTTCAACATTTCAGTGTGTTTGACGCTTCGCTTCGCAACCAACCTTGCTACTTACCTCCAGGGGCCGCAGCTATGTTCTGTAGAGTTTGCTCAACAATCACACTTTAATGTCTTGAGTTCCATCGCCGGCTGCATGAGACCCTTCGAATATTGCGCATACCGCCGAGCTCTGCCTCGCGCAGCCTGCCTCGAGTTCTTATCGATCGACGATCATTTGGCAGTCCAGGTTTGTTCGCGAAGGCAACTGAAAGCTTCGGTTAGATTGCGTGACACTGTGATTTTGAGGGAGCTGATCGAGCTTATCCCGCTGTTGGCTTGGTTCAACACCCAAAGAAGCGGCAGCGCAACGTGACAGGTGGCATCTTCCTTGGTGCGGATTGCGGATGCCGACGGCCTTGCGGGCCTGATCTCTGCTCCGCGTCATCGTGTCGGTGTCTTGATGCGGATCACCGCCACTGTCCCGCGCCGTGGCTGCTGCTCGGCTGACGGACCTACTCTCATCTTTGCTTTGGCTGGGGCCCATGGAGGTTCGGGTGGCACATCCCTCCCCTAATCCCCGGCTCGGATCGAGGGGCCCGGAGCGTTGAACTCTGCACCGGAGCCCTGATGACGTATGCGGAGGGGCAAAGAAGGCGAGAGGGACCGTTTCCGTAGGCCGGAGAGCACCCCAGGTCGACACTCACTCACTCACTCACTCACTCACTCACTTTGCTTTGGCTGTGGATCCATGTGCTCTTGTTCCGTCGCCCGGCGCTTGCCATTCTACAAAGTTTGAAGATGCAAGGCGTACGCCGCGGAGCGCCGTGTATCAATTGCAGTGTGCTTCCATCAACGAGTTGTTCGGCTTGCGTGCTATCGCGCCTCTTCTTCAGGCCGATTTGCGGGTGAGTTACCCTGGCTACCTCTTCTGCATAAGCTCACGAGTGCTCAAGCTTTTCCGCCCCCTTTCTCTCTCCGTAGACCTCACAGGCGCCATGGCCGGTCAATCCAAGGTGCTGGAGACTATGGCCTCGCAGCTCTCCGCTGTGGCTGCTGGCCTCGACGCTCTCAGGGTGCAAGGGGCAGAGCAAACTGCCGCCAACGACAAGACTGCCGAGACGATTGCAGCGATGCAGCGCATCTCACAGCACGATGCGTTGCTCACAGGAGATGGCCCGTCTGTGCTGTCAACTGCTGCACCGGTGGCTCGCCCTCAAGATTGGGAAGTTCAATTGCCACAGGGATCAGCCTCCTCACAGCCAGTGTCCCGGGAGGAGTGTGCGGCAATGATCACAGAGGCTTTGCAGACAAAGGTCGGCCCCGCCCTGCAGGCAGCGTTCTCACAAGTCGGTGCCGAGCTGGTCAACCACACGGTGAAGATCAACACGCTCGAGCACGAGGTCCGGATGCTGAAGATCCACACGGCATGGACGGAGAAAGACCTCATGTACTCACAGATTGAGGCTGCAAAAAGAACTCACTGGTGGTCCGTAACTTCCCGGACTGGGCCACAGCCGCCGACCGTGAGCTCACAGTGGCCGAGGCGCTCAAGGAGAACAACCTGGCCTACTTGGAGTGGGACCTGACCACCACGACCATGGAAGGCAATGACGAAAAGAAGTTCTTGGCTCCGATCTCCATCCTCACACCGACCTATGCCTCAAGAAGAAGGTCATGGACGCATGCTCTCGCGCAGTGGTTCGCTATCGGCATGAGATAAAGGACGAGGAGAAGAAGGACGAGGCCGCAGAGAACGACGAGGAGGAGAAGAAGGCCGAGCTCGCGCAGCAAGAGGCCGCCACTTCGGGGAGCCAGTGCAGACCCTCCCACAGCCGCCGATGACGAGATGAAAGGAGCTGACGCACAGCCCTCACAGAAAAGGTGGGAGATGCGAACCTGGAACTGGAATCTCCCGATCAACATGGCACCGGGCATCACCCAGTTCGAGCGACGCCTCGGAGCGTCCATGCACGGCCTGATGAACGCCTATACCAGCGCCTTTTCGCACGCTTCAAGAAGGAGACTCTCACACCAAGGTGGAAGACCCTTATCCTGGAGGACAAAGAAGGCGCATGATTGGGCCGCATCTTGTACAACCGCAAAGCTCACAGCCTCACAGGCACCGCGGGCACGACGGCTGATTGGCGCTGCGAGGTCCAGCTTCCGGCTGAACACAAGGATGTTATCCTTGCCAGCTGGCGTGACGTCTGGTACGACCAGCTAAAGCAGCAGATTTCGCAGACCGAAGTCGAGAAAGCCTCACAGGACTACGTGGCAGCCACCTGCCTGAACAGGTTCCTCACGAAGGCGGTCCCCAGCTACAACGAGGGCGAGGAGCAGGGGATCGAGAACTGGGTGGCCAGGTTCAAGTTCGAGTACCTGGAAGAGCTCACCTTCGTAGGCCTCCCACAGGACCACCCGGACCGGCAGTATTTCCAAAATCCCTGCCGCGTAGGAGCTCATGGCAGAGATGGCTGCGGACCAGGCGATGGGGACCGAAGTGGCTGCCGGTGAAACCTTGGTTTCCTTTGCCTCACAGACGAAAAGGCAGCACTCGGAGGGCACCGAAGGCACTTTCGATAGCATGGAACCCTCCGGCGAGCCAGATCTCGCCAAATAGACCTACTACCCGTTCGACTCACAGGCCGAGCTCGACCAGGAAGTGGAGAACGAGAAGATCACCCACTGCGACCACACAGGAGGAAGAAAGGGAGCGAATTAGTTTGAAGCATGCAAGCACGCCTCCCATAAGCGAGCCGGGTGCGCTGAGCCATCCCCAACCCTTTTCCTTTGCTACCTTTCACAGTTCTGTAATATATGTATATATATATACATATATATACATACATGTGTAAACAAACACACTTTTGTCGTATGTATACTTGTAGACGTAGTCGACGCATATTTACATGTTGTCATATTATCTCATATATATATATATATATATTCATGTGTTTATTTGCATGTCATCTTATACATATTTGTATAGGTATACATACGTATGTAGACAGTCATTTGTTTATGCTTTGGCGCCCGTCCCCAAGATTCATGTTTTCCTGCTTTCTACTCCACCACCTCAACGCAAAGTTCAAGTACATGTGAAAAGACATGAACCCGATGTCGTTTTGATTTTTTGCTTCTTTGACATGTCCTTACCTCAGTGTCTTGCAGCATGAGCATGTATCCCGTAGCGCGGCCTTTCAAGATGTCAAACGATGACGGTTTTATGCAAGCCCGGCTTTCAGCTGCGAAGCATGTCAGGTTTTTGCGGTTTCCTCCGTGCTGGGAAGGCCACGTGGCAGAACACGGCTGCGACATCTTCTTCGAACTTTGCATGTTAGTCGTGCTAGCACCGCTGTTAACACGTGGAGTTATCTGAGCGAATACGCGGGAAGTGGAATTTCATTAACCGCGGCCACTCGGCCAAATTGGTCAACTTCCGACTCCCCCATTCTTGGCTGTAGCTGCCCGGTTCTAACCGCTGAGAAACTGCAAGAAGCCTCTATGCCCCAGTTCCAAACTTTACAGAGGATGTCTGAATTATTTTCATGTGTTTGGGCGACTGTTGGGTCTTCTAATCGTTTTTCTGCAGAACATGTACCTGGCTTTGCTTTTGAATTTGCGGCCCCGTGGTTTTCTCGTTAGCTTCATGTCAAAGACGGTACGTCTCTATACAACAGGGTGGGATCGATGCTGATACAGCCAAGCGCTGGGCAAACCTTGTCAAAGAGGGCATTGAGGATGCTGGTGGTTGGGCGACTCAGCAGCATTTGTAAGTTATTTACATGTGGTCTGCAGAGAGTCATCGGCCGGGTCGAAGTCACGAGCAGAGCTGGGCCTGCAGAGACTCGCACATGACTGCTTTCGGGCACATGCGCAGGAGTTACATCAACATCAGGTTGTGTTGCGGGATGTGCTTTGCAGGACCGGCCCCAAGGCAACCTGGGCACGATGTCGAGATTTACGAAATGGTTGGTCCGCAGCGGCTGCAGCTGCCCGTATCGATACGGAGGGGCCGTGCTCCAGCAGAAAGACTAGATGGCCATATTCGTATGTCGATAGCAGACGACAGACCTTTCACGTCTGCAGAAGCTTGTTTAGCATCTTGGGGTCAGAGCTGGTGCTTCCTTTGCACGAGAAGTAAATGATTTCTTGTGGTCAGTCGGCAGGTAGTCGATGCCACACCGTTTCCACCCTTTATGGAAGAACTCATGGACGTGGTGATGCCGCTCTGCGGGTTCCCAAAGGACCGCCGCGCTTGCCACAGGATCATGCGTGTCGATGCTTTCACGTAAGTTTCTTCGCTTCGAGGAGGAAGCGGAAGATTGGCCTAATAGCTGCAATGTCAATCTGTATGCAGATGGAACAGATTATCTGGACTGGCATGCAGATGCCGAGTGCCAAGTTGGATGATACCGTTTTCTTGACAGCAAACTCAACATGACCGAGCGGAATGATGATCGAATGCCAGTGTTTGCATGAACCGAGGACGAACCATTGTTCGGTGGGCGTCATGGCGATTGTTGCATAATTTCGCTGTCACTGGGACAGGAGAGCATCAGCATTGTCATGCCTGCTCGGGCCATTGCCTTCGAGCGAACAGGGAGAGCAGTCACAGCTGGCAGGAGAGGCCCTTCCAGTTGCGACTGACCGACTGCGCAGATGCTGCTCAGCTTGAAACGTAGGAGTGCAAGAACTTGCATGTTAATATTTGTTAATCCTCTCTCGAGTCCGCAGCGCCGTGAGTCTCAAGCGCTACGAGGCCGTTTTCACAGACTCCTGTAGGCCCCAGATCAGACTTTTGTATCGACCAGAATGGGCACGGGTTGGCTTCGTGGACGGGGGGTGTTGTCGGAGCTCTGGCCAAACAGGACTCCACATAAGCCCAGTAATGAAGTCAGCAGGCCGGATATTCGAAACGCATTGCTCCGGTGACTGGCATGCTTGTGCAGGACTACGCGAAGTATCCCCATGCATGAAGACCCGCACTGGAAGAAAGCTCTGCCGCTGTCTGCAGCCCTGCCGAGCACGATTTCCCGCCGTCTTCCCGAATTTCTTGAGGTTTGGCGGCTGCGCTCTGTGTGCAGCCTTTGCCAGCAGTGGAAGTCAGGAAGATTTAAAGCCATCGCGGAGGGAGTGTCACATAGGTAGCATACTATAATGTTTGTCCCTTTTTGCGAACGTCGCTGCGTTTCATTTAAGTTCAGAGCCTCTTCTCGCCACCTTTTGTGAGGGCGAGTGGCTGTGTGCTTCGCTGCAACCCTCTAGTTGTCACTAAAGGGGAGCATAATGCAAGGGGACTAGGATCTCTAGCACTTACCTCGTGTATACCTGGTACACCTGCAGCCTTTTTCATCATGATCGATGTGGTTGCAGCAATGGGATGCTGGTTGTGGAAGGTTTGGAGTGGCGCGGGGCTAGGCCGATCAACCCGAGAGTGTTGAAAGGGTACGCCTCCTCGGAGGCTAGGTCTGAAATGCCGAAGGTAATAGGGCTATGGCACACGGTTTGTCATCGAAAGGATATGTACACTACATCTTTCAATCCACGTGTGTGGGGTTTGACAGTACATGGGAGTTTTCTTTGTCGCGGCATGTGTTTGGGGTGATGTCAAACGACGCTGCGAGTGACTGCCAGTGAGAACAAAGGTGAGACCAATCACCTTCCTGGTTTGACATGTTTGCAACACATTCTTCCCGTGCGCTCAGTGTATATGATACGCTCTGGCTGTTGGCAGTTTTCATCGTAGAGCAGGTTATACTTCGACGACCTTGCCAGGCTCAGAAGTTTTAAGACAGGGACAGTTTTTATAACTTAAGTAGAACTTAAGTAGCCTATGATCGTTGACACATGCTTTGGCCAGAGAATGCGGAGAATCTGTGACACCATCATTCAATAGTGCTCCTGGGTGATCATTGACTACATTACGTTGGATTGGTCGAGCACAACGAGTACGGCCAATGTCGTGATCCTTCACTATTTAGTTGTCGTGATTGGCGTTATGGTAACTCGACAGTTGCAGTGTTTCGACCCATCGGAGCGTTTGCAAAGAACTCATCTGGTCGAAATCGCTTTCCCCGATTTTCTGAAACACCTGTCCGGCATGAACATGTGGGAATCCCTGGAAGTCAGGTAAGGCATGGCACCGCGCTACGATCCGGGCTTGCCTCTGGAGACAAGACAGATGGACGACCACAGAGCTCGTGCGAGTATCATGCTCTTACTTCGAGGGTGGCGGCGCTGACTTCTTAGCCAGACGACTAGTCTTCGGCCCACGGCATAGCGACGATGCGATGGAGGGCGAGGCTCAGATGATCATGGTCAAAGGCAATACAGAAAGCCGGGAAGCTCCACACGAATTTGACCATTCAGACGGCAGCTATGTTTGTGAGATTCTGAACAATGAGAGGGCAGTCCTCAGGATACGGGTTCTGCGCAGAGTGCAAGATGGCTCGTCAAATCCTGAAGAGCACCAGGTCTCACTGGGGCAAGCCCTCTTTGCAACCACTTACTCCAAATGAGCAGTGTCGAGAAGATGGACAGCACAGGCCGGCAGGCTCGACAACGCAAAAGTGTGGCATGACTCATACCAGGAGTGCTACATACACTGTCATTCCTGCACGTGTGTGTATTGAATTCTGGTAGGTACTCTTCTCAACTGAAGCAAGCTGTGTCGCTTGTATATGCATCTCAATGTACCGATCTGTGTTCCTGATTAGGAAAGAATGCATACATGTGTGTATATGTAGATTAATTCAACATAGTCTATATCGAAACATACATAGAATGTATACACATGATATACATGTAGAAGTGTATAGGCTGCCGGCTGAAGTCCTTGTGAGCTTCAGTTTGACAGGTGGGAGTGCCCTCATCGTCACTCTGCGAGTACAGCTTGCTTTGGTCCTCAAGAGAAAGTGTGTATGATATACATAACCTACATGAACTTAAACACACGTAGCATAGACAGATGTATGTGAACACATACCAAGAGAGACCAATCTCCGTTCAGGGTAGTCAGTACTTCAGGCTTGCTCGTGCTTCATATTGTAGCTGCTAGGTGCAATCAAGAAGCACCCAGTCGGCGGTTTTTGTCAACGCATTGGGTTCTCCAACCACAAAGCTCTCTGTCCCTACCTACTCGAAGCCTTTTCGGGCCACAGAGTCTTCCCGAGTGTCAGCAGCCCCGTCCGAACATCAGATTCTTGGGCGGCGAAGCCCTGGCACCGTGGCAGACATGCAGAAATGTCACCGTCTTCATTTTGCACGCGCAGACCGGATCTGCAAGACCTCATGTCAAAGTTTGCACACTCTCTCGTAGCACAGGATGCAGAATCGCCATCAGGAAGGACGTCTCAGGGCCTTCAAGAGCCTCAGCCGATGGCAAAGACATAACGGTGGGTCCACAATGAAACGGTTGGTGCTATCTCTTGAAACCTTTCCAAGCTCGTGACATTCCTGATTTAAGTTTCAATGACACCGGGACTGAGCAGCGACCAAACTTGAAGCTGCACGGCCGGCGTTCAGTTTCAGTGAGACTGACTATTGGTGCTCTGTGCTTTCGTTTGAGTTGGCAGCTGAGGCCAATCAAATTCATGAATTTCCGTTGGGGAGGGGGGCGCTCTGCACAATGGAAGGACGCACTCAGCAGCTTTTCGGAAGCATCGAGTCCACTGCTAAAATGTCACCACGACAAACGTCAAGCAAGATATCTGGCAGGTTCTACCAACACCGGGTGCCCAAACGAGGAGGCATGCGGGACCCAACAGCAAGCAAGGCAGTCCGTGGCAACCTTGACGTGGGGTGCCAATTTTGGTGGGAATGGCTTGTCGAGGTCAGTCAGCGGCAGCACGCATCAACCTGACGTGGCGTTGGATAACGTCGCATGACAAGCGATGTGTGTTTCACCAGACCCAGCCATAGTGGAGGAAAAGCAGGACGCACATGGCACATGATCTGATTCGGCGGGTCCTGCTGCTCATTACTGGTACGGTTCCGCTGGTGTGCAGCTGCATGTGCCCCAGTGTCAGTGCCGTGCTTTCGGTGCGGCAGGGCAAGGCGCGACTTCTGCGTTTCTATTACGACGTTGCTATGGACAGGCCTGTGACCTGTGTCCGGGCTTTCACGAGATGAGGGAGAAGGGGTCGATATCTGACCGTGATGAGGCAAAAACACATTGTGCAGACAGTCTTCCGCCTAGGCCCATTGATTTGCTTCGAACTGCATGTCAAAGTATGCCGGACAGCTCTGCACCACACAGCGTTGTCCTCCCTGTCAGTCAGCACGAGAGTGGATGAGAACTGCTGCTGCTTCGTGGAGGAGCTGCAATGAACTGTTGTGCAGACGTTGTTGGGCTCGATCACATCAGAGACTCTTTTTTTCGATCATCTGTCTTTCATCCTATTTATCCTGGTTAGCTTGTTGAAGCGATTGAAAAGTGCAGCGAGTCTCTTCTTGATGTGTTTGGGTGCTTGACTCGCGCGGCTAGGACGAGTCCCTTTTCGGACCCGATCACAAGATCATTTATAGGCAGCCGTGTGAATTCTGTTCTCTAGCATGCACCATGCACAGAACTTAATTCCTTCTGCACTGGAAGGCACTTCGCAACCCTTTATTTCGTCTTTATAGCGGACAGCGCTGAGAGCGAGCTCGGGGTGCTGGACCTGATCCAGGCGAATTTGCGTTGATCTTGCAGAGTGCCTGAGTGATAGATTTCATGCAGCGATGCAGGACCTGCTAAGTTGTTTCACGTTGCTGCCACTTTTGTACTTGGAGGTCTCATTGTTTAGAGAACCTCATTGCTTCTTTCCTGGAACTGCGTTTTTGTGTTTAGCAGCAACGTGTTGTGCGAGCTGGAACAATTATCAAACCGGAGGTCTTCGTCCAAGTCCTCGATTCGTGCTTTGAAAATGTTTGTGAGCTGGACCTGATCTACCACTTCGACCGGGCCAGGAGCTTAGCGGCGAGTGGTGCATCAGAGTCCTCGTCCTTGGTAAAGTCTTCAGGTGAACTACATCCTGGATGAAATAGTCATGGCAGGAATGGTGTTGGAGACGAACGCGGATCTTATCCTTACGGCCGTCAAGGTCCGCACTCTCACATATATATATATATATAATATATGTATATATATATATATATGTGCCCGATACCTTTAGGGTCTATATAACCGCGGTTTGTTGTCTTCAGCACATAATGGAAAGCAAAATGTAAGGTATAAGCACAGCCCACATTACAAAGCCACGACCTGAAAAGTTTCGGATCGACTAGGCTATATTTTTCTATCAAGTAATTTTAGCAAAATACTCGCATTCAGGGAGACGAGTATAATATAAACAGAACATCGAGTGTTGATCCCAACACTGTCGATGAATAAACATTCGTTGTGATGACACATTTCAGTGTATACAGTCCATACATCTTGCAGGAATGATGTATCGTCGTGAAGATATGCATAGCACTGTCAGCAGTATATCGGCAACATGGACAAATTGTCCTGTCCAAATATTTCACAATTCGACTTATTTTTGACTTGCCAGCGCTTGAGTAATTGCATACGACATATCCATCCAAGAATCACGTAGTAAGCATGCACGCTGTAATATAGCATAAATTTGTTTGTAATTTCCGCACAGGCCAGAATGCAAAACCTGACAGGTTCGGTACTCATGAATCGGATGTGTTTATATGACAAATTATGGGAATACATACGGCATGACACATCCATATCACATGATGTAACACTTTACAGGGCATGTAATGTGCCAATCTGTTATGTCCTGGACTTTCCAATGTATAAGTTCCTTGTCAGTAGAGGGTCAATCGGAGTGGGTGGAGTGACACATTAGGGTGCCTGTAATATGTCAATTTGATATGCCCAGGCACAGGGGCCTGACAGTGTATAAGTTCCTTGTTAGTAGGGTTTCAGTAGGAGAAATGGAGTGACACATTAGAGGGCATGTAATATGTCAATTTGCCCAGTCCAGGACCCAGGAAGTGAAGATACACATTATAGTGGGTTTAATGTGCCAGTTTGTTATGTCCATAAAAAGTACTTTCCGATGTATCAATTTCTTATCAGTAGGGTTTCAATAGGATAGGTGGAGCGACACACTATAGGGCCTGCAGTGTGTCAGTTTATTATGTCCAGGGGTTTTCCAGTGGAAAAGTTCCATTGCAATAGAGGTTCCATAGGAGGGAGTGGAGTGACACATTAGAGGGCCTGTAATGCGTCAATTTATACTACCCAGAGGCCTTCCAATATACAGATGCCCTACAGTGTATAAGTTCCTTGCCTTTAAGGTTTCAATAGGAATAATGACACATTAGAAGGCCTGTAATGTGTCAGTTTGTTTTCCCATGTGCATTCCAATGTATCTCTATACATATCAGATCTGATGTGATCACAGCATTAGCCAAGAAGGATATCACGTAGTTAATAGTCTTCACGATCTTAACAAAGGCGCAATTATCCGTATCGAAGGTATACATTCCCATGAAGAATCCCTATAGATCCCTTCACAGATCCCTTGTATGGAGCCCTCATAGACAGCCTTTATAGATTCCTATAGAAACTTTATAGATCCCCTATATAGAGAACTTATAGAAACCCCGTATAGATCAACAAATGGAGGTTTTTGTAGAAAACTTTACAAGATCCCTTACATGGAGCTTTCATAGACAACTGCTATATATTCCTTACCCTTTGTAGAAACCACATGGAAGCCCTGTATAGATCCCTCGTATGGAGCCCTTCTGGAAAACCCTTACAGATTGCTTATAGAAATCTTAAAGATCCTCTATGTAGAGACCGTATATAAATCCATTATATAAGAAACTATAGATCCCTTACAGAGAGACTTTCTAGAAACCCACTATGGATCCCTCATATGGGGCCTTTATAGTAAGCCCGGTTACAAAGTATGTAGATGCGATGTGCTATGCTATTCTTGATATAGTAGTTAAGATAAATCGATTGTATTATGGTTCGTACAATACCTATGAAAATACCTTTAAGAATAGAGGGAGCGGTATTAAAACCAATGAAACCGGCAACGAAGATGATGAAGATGATGAAGATGATGCAGATGATGAAGATGATGAAGATAATGGAGATGATGGAGATGATGAAGATGATGGAGATGATGGAGATGATGGAGATGATGGAGATGAAGAAGATGATGGGGGGTGATGGATATGATGGAGATGGCAGGGGGCAGGGGGCAAATGGCAAAGGGGAGGGAAAGGTGAGGAGGTGGGGAAGGCAGGGATGGTAGGAGAGGGGGCAAGGGAACAGGGGGAGGCCTGAAATGTGTCATGCATCTTTCTGTAAGGCGGAAAAGATAACACATTTCCGGCCTGAAATGTGTCATGAGTCATGCTTCTTTCTGTAAGGCGGAAACGATGACACATTTCCGGCCTGAAATGTGTCATGCTTCTTTCTGTAAGGCGGAAACGATGACACATTTCCGGCCTGAAATGTGTCATGCTTCCTTCTGTAAGGCGGAAAAGATGACACATTTCCGGCCTGAAATGTGTCATGCTTCCTTGTGTAAGGCGGAAAAGATGACACATTTCCGGCCTGAAATGTGTCATGCTTCTTTCTGTAAGGCGGAAACGATGACACATTTCCGGCCTGAAATGTGTCATGCTTCCTTCTGTAAGGCGGAAAAGATGACACATTTCCGGCCTGAAATGTGTCATGCTTCTTTCTGTGAGGCGGAAACGATGACACATTTCCGGCCTGAAATGTGTCATGCGTCTTTCTGTAAAGCGGAAAAGATGACACATTTCCGGCCTGAAATGTGTCATGCTTCTTTCTGTAAGGCGGAAACGATGACACATTTCCGGCCTGAAATGTGTCATGCTTCCTTCTGTAAGGCGGAAAAGATGACACATTTCCGGCCTGAAATGTGTCATGCTGCTTTCTGTAAGGCGGAAACGATGACACATTTCCGGCCTGAAATGTGTCATGCTTCTTTCTGTAAGGCGGAAAAGATGACACATTTCCGGCCTGAAATGTGGTCCCCCCTATTCCCCCCCCCTACCTGCCCACGCCCCTGCCCCCCTGTCCCCCCGCCCTGCCCCCCACTCCCTGCCCCACCACCTGACCTCTAATCCAGCCCCACCTTCCCCCCTGAACCCACCCCCCAACCCCAGAATCCACCTCCCCACCAAAGGGCCTAGGGTTTGGGCTTTAGGGTTTAAGGCCTAGGGTTTAGGCTTTAGAGTTTAGAGCCTAGGGTATGGGCTTTGTTTAGGGTTTAGGGCCTAGGGTTTGGGCTATAGGGTTTAGGGCCTGGGGTTTGGACTCTAGGGTTTAGGGCCTAGGATTTGGGCTTTAGGGTTCAGGGTTTAGGGACACATTTCAGGCCGGAAATGTGTCATCTTTTCCGCCTTACAGTAGAAAGAAGCATGACACATTTCAGGCCGGAAATGTGTCATCGTTTCCGCCTTACAGAAAGCAGCATGATCATCCACAGAACCCCAGGATTTCAATTATTTAAATAATTGAAACCATTGAAATAATTGAAACAATTGAAATGGGGCTGATTTCAATTATTTCAATTATTTCAATGATTTGGGCCCTCTGGCGGATTTAAATAATTGAAATAGGTCGGATTTCAATTATTTCAATTATTTCAATTATTTCAATTATTTCAATAATTCAATTATTCGGGCCCTCTGGCGGATTTAAATAATTGAAATAATTGAAATCCGAAAGCTCCATGGGCCCAAGCCACCACATCCAGTGATTTGAATAATTGAAATAATTGAAATAATTGAAATGGGGCTGATTTCAATTATTTCAACTATTTGGGCCCTTTGGCGGATTTAAATAATTGAAATAATTGAAATGTGTCGGATTTCAATTATTTCAATTATTTCAATTATTTCAATAATTCAAATCGGTGGGATTCGTGGCTTGGCCCATAGCAACCATCGATTTCAATTATTTCAATTATTTGGGCCCTCTGGCGGATTTAAATAATTGAAATAATTGAAATCCGAAAGCTCCATGGGCCCAAGCCACCAAATCCAGTGATTTGAATAATTGAAATAATTGAAATAATTGAAATAATTGAAATAATTGAAATAATTGAAATGGGGCTGATTTCAATTATTTCAATTGTTTGGGCCCTTTGGCGGATTTAAATATTTGAAATAATTGAAATGGGTCGGATTTCAATTATTTCAATTATTTCAATTATTTCAATTATTTCAATTATTTCAATTATTTCAATTATTTCAATAATTCAAATCGGTGGGATTCGTGGCTTGGCCCATAGCAACCATCGATTTCAATTATTTCAATTATTTCAATTATTTGGGCCCTCTGGCGGATTTAAATAATTGAAATAATTGAAATCCGAAAGCTCCATGGGCCCAAGCCACCAAATCCAGTGATTTGAATAATTGAAATAATTGAAATGGGGCTGATTTCAATTATTTCAATTATTTGGGCCCTTTGGCGGATTTAAATAATTGAAATAATTGAAATGGGTCGGATTTCAATTATTTCAATTATTTCAATTATTTCAATAATTCAAATCGGTGGGATTCGTGGCTTGGCCCATAGCAACCATCGATTTCAATTATTTCAATTATTTGGGCCCTCTGGCGGATTTAAATAATTGAAATAATTGAAATCAGCTCTGCTGATTTAAATTATTTCAACTATTTCAATTATTTGGAATAATAGTAGTTATAAGGAAAAGAATGGAGCGTAAAATAGACCCTAGAGACGCCTCTCTCTCATATATATATATATATATGGATATGGTACCCCCCCCAAGACCTACCTCCAAACCCGTCTGTCTACAAAGATGATACCACACTTTATTGCCCATGCACACACATGCACATGCACGCACACACATGCAACATGGACTAGGGTATACGAAGATTCGTGTAAACGAACATGACCAAACCAGAGGCCTGGCTGCATTAAAACGCGCATTAAAGAATTAAATTTTAATGCAGCCCGGCCCGTGGAACCAAGAACCAAGAACCAAGATGCCCAGGAGTCTTGAATCCTGAATCTTGGTTCCACGGGCACTGGCCGGGCTGCATTAAAATCTGCATT